CCCCAATGTCTTCATCTCCGAGATAGAAAGAAATTGAATTGTTTCCAAAGGGGGGGGGGAATGGATAAACGGATAAGAGGGAAAGCAGAACAAGGGAGGAGGGAGGGAGGGAAGCAGTCAGGCTACAAAGAGTCTCTCACTTGGAAAAGGTTTCTCCAGGAAGTGCCCTCTGACGGTCTGGTTGGCTGTCCCCAGGTAGTTGGTAGCGACTATCGTGTAATTCCCATTGTTGTAGTGTGTTGGATGGTTGAAGAGCAAGCAGCCGTCCAACACTTCTCCTTCCTGGAAGAGTTCCATTCGGATGAACTCTGTCTCCCTGAGAAGCTGGCCGTTGTAGAGCCAGTGGACTTGAGGCGGAGGGTTCCCGTGGACCAAAAACTCAATGCAGTGTTCCATGTGCCGGATGGGCTCCAACAAGGCAACGATGCGGGGAGGATCTAAAGGGAGGAAGCAGAGTCGACCGGCTTAATGGCAGTCCTCAGATGACCAACCCATCTAGAGAGCCAGTGATTTCTGAATATTATCTTTCTGTAGGTCTAGGACAGTGGTTCCAGATCTTTTTCAAGTTGTGCCCCCATTTATAATAGCCAGGACACCTGTCACGTCTGCATCGAAAGACATTTTTAATGAGGTAAAATCATCTCTTTTCAGAAAGTGGGGGCTTCTTTCTCCCCCAAAGGGCCTGTTTCTCACACATACACACTAACTTTAATATCCTGCTCTGAAAGGTCAAGGGAGAAATCATTCACCAAGGGCTATGACACATAAAAGGAGTTCCACGCCCCCTCTAGAAAATGCTTGATGACTTCCTTCAGGGTCTCAACTTCCATGTTGGGAAACACTGGCCTAGGAAAACCAACATCCTTCTCCCAAATTAGGGAAATTCATCTTTTTGTGATGGATAATTGTTAGCATCTTAACAACCTACACACAGAATGTGGGGTCCACAGACTTCAGGGGGAATCCTTTGGGGTCAACACAATGCCTAACCTAGCAGTATGATACTAAGGTTACAGAATAGGCTAATAGCTTGTGGGTGTGGTGGGTCTCTCACATGAGTGTTGAAAAGCTTTTCCCTGTCATGGCAACTCATGCATAACCCATAACATCTAAAACTGTGTGGCCAGAGGTGTAATGGAGTTTGGACTTGCAGAACCAAAGTTGTGATCAGCACAGAAGAGAATACTATTTGCCACCACCATCCTCAAGCTTCTGCTCCTCTCAACTTAACAACAATAATCAAGTAGCAGCAGAGAAATGCATGGCCCCAGCAGTTGTGAGCTATCCTTGGTGCTCATCAGAGTAACTGGGGACAGTTTGTTCCTAAAGGAACAATTAAGGTCTGTTTGCCTTACAAAACTCAGCTGCTGCTGGAGACAAACACACTACTAGATTTGCTACATTGATAAGGGAGTGGAAGGCGTCATTTCCAATCCCCTGGAGGCTGGTGAATATACTCCCGGATCTACGGCACCTTGGGTTCTTTTTAATGAGAAAGGTGGGATAGAAATATTTTAAAGAAAGGAATAATAATCCACAAGAGTCATCCAGGAGCTGAAGTTTACGGGAGCTCTCCAATGTGCTGAAACCTATCCCCTAAATATCTCCAGGCCCTGTGAAGTGCAGAATAAAGCACGGAGTGGATTCAGCCCCCTTAAAAGTTAGAGTTGTTAGGCATCATTGCATCAGGAAATAAGGGGATTTGGTGTGCCATACACTTTTGCAATACCCCAAACCTCCCCAGCTCTCATTAGAGCCTAAGAAGAGCCCTGCTGGATCAGGGCAAGGGCCCATCTAGTCCAGCTTCCTGTATCTCACAGTGGGCCCCATCAGATGCCTCTGGGAGCACACAAGACCACAAGACTCTCCTGATCCCCCTCCCCTGCATCCGGTCTCTGCATCTCTCGTACACAGAGAGCATTGCTCTTTAAGAACAAGAAGAGCAAGATCTCGCCTTCAAACAGACTCATGCTTTTCAAAGTCTCCAGGAAGTTTGGTTCATCTTGGAAAGGAGGCATATGCTTAAAGACAAAGGTTTCTTTTGCTGTTCCACTGCTCAGTTTGGGTAGTGAATTCAGTGGGGCAGTGGCAGTAGATGGCTGTGCAAGAGAAGTCCCATGGTGCTGAACACAGGGCTTCCCAACCTTGGAATCCCAGATGTTCTTGGACTGTCTCCTAGCTGTGCTGGCCAAGATTCCTGGGAGCTGCAGGAGGTGCTCTCAACAAGTGACCCTCAACAGATTACTGCAGAGGAAATGTGTCCCTTGATAGGAAAAGAGAATACGTTGCCCATCCCTGGCCATAAAAGACATCTGCTGACTTCTTTATCAAAAGAGGACAAATCTTTGGGGAAATATACAAAATTCAGAGTGTTCCTGGAGAAGCTGCTGGCAACCTTGAATACATGAATTCGGGTGAACATGAGGGAGATGGTGGTCTGAAATTCAGTTCACTTGAATTCATGTATTCAAGGTTGCCAGCAGCCTCTCCAGGAACACTTATTCCTTTAAAAAAATAGAGACTATTTTTCAATTTTCCAAAAACCAATTGCTTTGTAGTGTGTGTGCATTTGTGTGGGTTTGTATACACATGCACTCTCAAGTCAATTCTGATATATGGTGCCCCTTTTTCAGGATTTTCCAGTTAGAGAATACTCAGAAGTGCTTTGCCTTTACATTCCACTAGGGGCGCATCCTGGGACTGTGCAGCTGGCCCAAGGCTCCCCAGGCTGGCTCTTCTCCCATAACGCACAGTGGGGGAATCAAACTCCCAACCTCTGATTCTTCAGCCAGATACCTAAACCACTGAGCTATCCAGCCAGCTTACGTTATAGGGAGGTACTTACTTCTTATTCTGAGATGCACTTCCTCTTGTGCAATTAAATGGTACCATGTCCCATTAGAAAAAATGTCAAAAATTGGCCTCACTAAAAATTCTATTGTTTCTGTGGCTTCGGGAGCACTAGCTGCCATTTAGACATGACAACAGCTTACGCCGTCTGGCCCAATCCTGCTTGTTTATGTGAGATAAACAGATTAGAGACCACAAAGAAACAACGTTTGGGGAGGAACACATTCACCCAATAAGGAAGCCCTGTGAAGGTAATTCAGCACGCCGGCTGCAGGGTGGAACTTTGCCCTGAAGCCAATTTAAATTTTGCACCCAAACATTGTGCCGAGTAAAGTCAAGTCACACAATCCATAAACAATATGCAAAAAGGACAGATTAGCATATGTTTGGCCACTTGGACTAATACGCTGTACATCTCCAATTCATGAGGACGGGCAAAAAGTTGAGGAGGTAACTCAAGTTCAAATTCCCTGCTGAAAGGACCTACATGAGTTCAAGAGCAGCCATGTGGGAAGGCCATCAGAGCTACAAAAACAGCAATATTAGGAACAGCATGCACACTGCACCAACATTCAACAAATACTTAGGTTTTGGCTAAAACTTGTATCTGCCATACAATAGCAGCCAATGTGTTTTTAATTTTGATTGACCGTGTCTGGTTATTTTTGAATCATCATCACCACCATCATTATCACCAATGTCATTATCACCATCATCTTAGAATGGCAAAAAAACAGCAATATTAGGAACAGCATGCACACTGCACCAACATTCAACAAATACTTAGGTTTTGGCTAAAACTTGTATCTGCCATACAATAGCAGCCAATGTGTTTTTAATTTTGATTGACCGTGTCTGGTTATTTTTGAATCATCATCACCACCATCATTATCACCAATGTCATTATCACCATCATCTTAGAATGGCAAAGCTGGAAGGGACCCCACAGATCATCAAGTCCACCCCCTGCCTAGGAGGCCCAGTGGGGAATCAAATTCCCAAGATCTGAGTTCACAGTCCTATGTCCAAGCCACTGAGCTATCATCTACGTCAGTGGTTCTTAACCTTTGTTATTCGGATGCTTTTGAACTGCAACTCCCAGAAACCCCAGTCAGGACAGCTGGTGGTGAAGGCTTCTGGGAGTTGCAGTCCAAAACTCCTGAGTAACCCAAGGTTAAGAACCAGTGATCTAGTACATGCAGCAGCAAGATTGGTTAAGCACAGCCACAGATGCCAGCGTTCCTCCCCACTAAACATTGCTGACTTCAATGGCTGGGATTTGTAGTTCAGTAATATCTAGGAGGCTGCATGTTTCTCGTCTTTTGAGCGAAGGACCCATTAGAAGCCAGAGGAACTGCCGGAGATCAACCGAAAGTTGTCCTGTCCCCCCCCCCCGACACGCATGCTTATTACCTCAAATCAGCCTGACAGTTTTATGTTCCAAATGCTACGCTCAATGTCCCCCTGTGCTGTGCAGCATTTCTGACCACAGGGTAAGCCCAAGCCACAGTGCCACCTGAGGCAAATCACAAGCCATCACCTCTATATATTTGCATTTCCGGTGGGGGGGGAGGATTTGGTGTGACAACTGAACCTCACATCTGTATCACTATGGGGCAAGCAGTGTCTTCCAGCACTGTTCAAGGTAACACAGACTTTCTCACACACTACTCTGTCTTCTAGCAGAGGAGAGCAGACAAGGCAGTGAGGAGGAATGACTGGGAATCATTCCCCCCATTTGTTTTCCATGTCCCCCTATATCTAAAGAGATTTGTCTTTACACACCCTCAGTTCATGAACTTAACACACAAATCAAGGAAGTGCCTTTCAGAGAACATGATGGAACACAGGGAGAAAAACCTATGTTGAGCCTAACATGTTTCAGTGCAAACACTGTGCATGCTTACTGCTGAAATTATCTCCTCTTTCACCCCAGGGAACCCTGCAGAAACCTTGGCATAGACGAAGGACAGATCACACTTACTGGGAAAGTCTGAGATTTGGTTCATCTGCCATGTGTAAATCTTCACGGATGAAGGGCCAAGACCTCCCACAGGAAAATGCACAACCATCTCCCTCACCCCTTTTTTCTCCCTTGAACCCACCCTCTCTCCTCTCCCCACCAACTTACAATAGACGGTGAGAAGGACGCTTGCGTTGGACATTCCAACCACATTCTCGGCAATGCAGGTCAGCAGGAACCCATTGTCCTCACTTGTGACGTTCACCAGGGTGAGGTTGATGGAATGGACGTTGGTCCAGTTGGCGTTGGTCTGAAGAAGACACAGATTTTCAAAGTGTAAAACATCTCAGAAATAAAGCATCTCATTGATACCTCCATATAGGCAGTGGAGGTTCTCTTTTTAAATTGTGCAGATCAGAGGCTGGAAGTAACATATATCAATCAATGTAGTCATCTATAACTAGCAAAACTGTTGGGCAACCAGGGTGTAGTTAAGTTTTATTTCAAAAGCAGAGGAAAGAGTAGGGATGGCATTACTTGATTGGTGTGACACTTAAGTTCTCATTGTCATTTAGTTATGTCCAACTCTTCCTGACCCTGTGGACCAGAGCATGCCAAGCCCTCCTGTCTTCCACTGCCTCCCGGAGTTGGGTCAATTTCATGTTGGTTGCTTCGATGACACTGTCTGACCATCTCATCCTCTAGTTACTTTCAAAAGCTTTTCTTGGAGGACATGTTTAAACATCTTTCACATTTCAAGTTCTACACCATTCTCTGATCAAGCTTTTTTTTTCTTTGTAAAAATTATCATAGAATCACAGATTAATTGAATTGGACCATTAAGTCCAACCCCTTGCTCAGTGCAGGAATACAAATCAAAGGATACCTGCCAGGTTTTTTCTTGAATGCCTCCAGTGAACAGCAAGTAACAAAAAAAGTAATGATAAAAAATAAAAACAAAAATAAATGCAAGAAGTAGTGTGTTTAACATGTAATGAGTCGCACCCATGGATTACTTTCAATTAGTAAAAAGCAATGAGGACACAAACTACTTTTACAAAGCAATCGTCTCACCTCTGATTTGGATTGTTCAAGCAGAAAAAGCTCCCAGCCTTAGGCTCCCTACCTGATGGGTGTTGATAGAGCGCAGGTTGACCACCATCCAGTCCACATCAGGTAGAGGTGAGCCAGACCCATTGCAGGTGATCACAGCATTTTCACCCTCGCACACTGTCAAGTTGACATGGCTGACGCTGATCTCAGGCAAATCTGGAGATGCCAAATCAAAACACAAGACACTTTATCAAACGGATGTTCAATCAACAATTGAGCTCCAAAATGCCTTCATCAAAGAAGACACAGAAATTATTTTGCTCTTATTCTTATCATTTCAGTGTTACAATATTGCATGTGGTTGACCTCTATGCACATATTCCTCTGTGAATAAGGAAATATGTTGTTCCTATCCTAAAGAAATAAAACTACGGGTACAACCTGGAGTACAATGTGCTTAGGATTCCAGCAACATCATTCAATCCTTTTCCTCCTCCATCTTCCATTCTCATCCTTCCCTAGTCACTCAGTATTTCCTAGCCACAAAAATTCAGTCTTCCGTGGATAATGTCTGGATTCACCTCTTCCATGCATGTTTTTGTCACACTTCTGCCAATTCAGGGTTTATCCTAAGTCTGGAAAGAACACTAATTCCTCTTCCCAATTCTGTAGGTTTTTCTACCACCCCCTTCAAGATCTCTCACTCCAGGCACGAGATTTCCCTCTCCTACCTCTCAAAATCTCTGTAATTTGGGCAAAAGGTCTCTCACGCTCCTGGCATTTCAGAAACAAAGCAGAAAGGCCACAAGCCAAGAAGGATTGAATGCTTTCTTTTAAAATAGGTCTAACCACAGTGTTTCACATCCTTAAAGCAGCAGTCCACATGCTTTGGGGGTCATTTATGCAATTCGTCCATTTTATTAAAATTGTGAAATTTGTGCACAGATTGCAAGTTTTGCACAAAAGTGGCCAATTTCACCAATGTGAGAACTCTTGAGGGTGCATTGGGGCATTCCTTGCCTTCCTCACCAGAGAAGAGAGGAAAGCTGCAATACCTTGACCTTTGCTGCAGTGATGGGGCAAGACAAAACATCCCTTGTTCTCCCCCTAAACCTGCTGATGTGTCTTTCCTGGACATACTGTAGGTAAGCAGTGTTTCAACAACATCCACAATGACATTTCAAGCCTCAGCATGAGGAAGAGATGGAGCAATTAGCAGCCAAGACACATCAGTCCTGCCAAATCACAAAGCATTGGGGAATTCTTTCAACTGCTCCCAACTTAGACCACTGACATCGAAAGAGGGAGAGCTCCGTTTCGGGAGGAAAACATCTCAGCAGGGAGGATGTCTCTCCAGTTGTGACAGAGCAGACTGTGGGGGCAGGCAGGTCTGGGAAACGGTTCACCCCATAAGCCCAGGAAATTAATGTCCATAAATCCACGCCAAGCTCATAGCAGGAGAGACCCTTTGCGAACTTCGCTTTGGCTCTGAGAGGATTCTCTAATCCTGGAAGATTACTCCTCCAATTTGTTGAGGAATTTCCAGTTGTCTCCTAAATCCTTTTTCTGCACTTAAACAGAGCTACCCCACCTTTCTTCCAGCATTTAATAATAATAATAAAAAGGCATGGTGCAAGGAGGAGTGAGAGAAATGCATGAGTGTGTGTGTTATATTGTAGACTTCCTCAAAGGGCAAATTTAAGATTTGGGAAGAAAAGAAAAATGATATGCATCCTCACACTTTTGATTTCTTCCCCTCTATACTCAATCAGCTAGAGGCCTCTAATTCTAGAATTCCATCAATGCATCTCTTTACAGAAATAAGGGATAAGGCCAGCAACCTGAGGGAACAACAGAGAGTATCTGTCCAGCCCAGTTAGAGTGTTCAAACTAGAGGATATCAAATCTTGCATTTTCACCTACAAGGACAAAAAAAAATAGTAGTTGCTTTTCTTCTTTGCCTATAAGAGGGCTTGTCATGGCCTTATTTTTCCCACCAAGTCAGCCCGTGAGCTGTGGCTTCCTGGGAGCACCTTTTATTTTTGGCATGGAATCAGCTAGAGCGAGTATTATCAAGGTACGGATGAGCCTCCATAGATTGCCAACAGACTGAGCTTGACTTCTTGAGTTTAAAATAAAAAATCAGGTCAAACAACAAGCTTGAGGGAACTCATTCCCAATCCAGAACATAGTTGTCTTCTGCTGCTACTTCTTTTCCAATTTATAGCACATTATATATATATATTTTTCCACCTCAGCTAGCCACTTTGCACTCTACTGGAAGGCCTAGTTCCACCTAGCTTCCTGTTTAGAAAGCTCCCAGGTAGCACTGGGGCAGGAACAGGAAGCTTTGGGTAGAGCTAGGCCTAGCTCAGCCTCAAAGCCTTCTAATTTAGGTCTTTATCTAAGGAGCATCACGTTAAATTTTCCAGTTAGGCCTTTTCTCCCAGGGGAGATGTTTGTAAATCAGAAAGGACTCCCAGAAAGAAGAATTATGGGTTTTGTAACTCAAGAACTCCCATCCCTAGCTCAGCATTTTGGTACATGTTTCTCCTGCATCTATCTTCTAAAAAAATTAAACTTTTAACCACCCAAAGGATCAATAATATTTTTCCTACTTCTGAAAATGTTGGAATTCCTCACCCACCCCTATATTGCTGATACCTCCAGCTGTATGTGGGTAATAGTATCAGGCTGGCCATGTAAGCCACAGTGGTCCCAGCTGGGCCATCAGAAAGAAAGAGGATGGTAATAATATTTTACAGGTGTCCCATTTAGCGGTGTTTCTTTTTCTCCCTTCCAGGCTCTTACCGCATTGGCTGATATTCATCTCCTGCATAGAAATGACTCTGCTCTCCCTGGTCGTGCAGTGTAAATCTTGGTACTGGAAACTCGCTTCGCCTTTCTCCTGCCACAGCTGGATCCAGCGAATGTCGCAGCTGCAGCTGAACATGTTCCGTTCTAACCTCCTGCACAGAAGGAGAACGATGGTGAGGAAAGGAAAGCAAGAGAGAAGGCAACATTGCCAGAAAACTGTCCTCTCCGTTATTTGGAATTACGGCAGTAGAATGGGTCCACGAAAGATTGAAGGCTTGCTTAAAAACCATTGGGAACAAACATAGGGAGATGGAGCAGAGAGAAGAACCAGAGGACAAGAGAGAATAAATGAATCCATTTTGGTGCTGAAAGACGCATTCAGTTTGCTTTCTCCAAATACTTCCACGTGTTTTGAATGCCTGAATAAGGATCAGCAGGAAATCACAGGTCCCCAGGTTGCAGCAGCCCTAAGCAAATTGTCTCTGGTGGTGCAGGTGTGTCATCACCGTCTTACTTGGCCACCGGACAAGCGCTCCAAACACCAACTGTTGACTTACATGCCTACCGAGTCTGTTCTTCAGACACCATCCTAGTCTTAGGGCCTTTATACTTGTCAGAACATATCTTCCCCAAAATCAGTTTCCTGTATCGCAACGCTCCTCTCAGTCCACAACGTTAAGAGTGACTAGCTGAGGGAGACCAGAAAGGCAACAGTGAGGACTAGGCCTTTTTTCAGTAATGGCCCCACCACGTTGTGGAATAACGAACCAGTTGAGGTGCTCCAGGTTCTGTCCTTCTTAATATTCAAGAAATTAACCCGGACAGAGTCTGATAAGACAGCTTTCAAGGATATCTTACTCCCAAATGATGTAAAGTTTAATGTTTAAACCTCAACATTCTGTAGACCACCATACTTGAGTTGGTTATATCACCATTTGGATTACAGTATTATGTATTTTTTATGGGAATGAAATGGATGGGGGTTGTTGGGGTTTGCTTGTTTATACATTGCCCAGAATAGTGCGAGTTCTATAACTGGGTGGTATATTTAACTGGCGTGCTCTGGTCCATGGGGTCACGAAGAGTCGGACACGACTTAACGACTAAACAACAAACACCATTAACTAAGTAACTAGATGAATGAATGAATTCATGATTTCATGACCCCTGTCCTTGCTGCTCAAGCTGGTGTTTTTGTTTTGCTTTAAACTAAACAGATTGGATAGCCTTTCCGATGGAGGAAACCTTCAAAATGCGGCCTCTCCTCTAGCAGTGCGAGTTCTATAACTGGGTGGTATATTAACTAACTGGTATGCTCTGGTCCATGGGGTCACGAAGAGTCGGACACGACTTAACGACTAAACAATAAACACCATTAACTAAGTAACTAGATGAATGAATTCATGATTTTATGACCCCTGTCCTTGCTGCTCGAGCTGGTGTTTTTGTTTTGCTTTAAACTAAACAGATGGGATAGCCTTTCCAATGGAGGAAACCTTCAAAATGCGGACTCTCCTCTAGCAGCTGTTTATATGGAAGACTGTTTTTTTCCTGAAAGGTTCTCGGGGTCTGTGTCTGTTTCCATGCATGCTGCTTTGCTCTGCACAGCTTGTCAACTGCATTGCTACACTGAGCAGCGCTTTCCTTTAGTGTGTCCTTCCCCTCCCGCTTCTTCTTTGCTTTAAACTAAACAGATGGGATAGCCTTTCCAATGGAGGAAACCTTCAAAATGCGGACTCTCCTCTAGCAGCCGTTTATATGGAAGACTGTTTTGTTTTCCTAAAAGGGGCTAGGGGTCTGTGTCTGTTTCCATGCGTGCTGCTTTGCCCTGCACAGCATCTCAACTGTATTGCTACATTGAGCAGCATTTTCCTTTAGTGTGTCCTTCCCCTCCTGCTTCTTCTTCCTACCAGACCTGCTCAGTCAAGTCCGGGCTCTATCCGTAACACTCTGTGTCATAATGCACCGAGTAAAAGCTCCTGCTGCTCAGGGACATGATGCGACCTGAAACCCATCATGCATCTTAATTGAATGAAGAAGCTAGCTTTGTACGCCGTTAGACCCCCATTTGACCTGGCTGGGCAGGGCAGATGGGAATTCTACTTTTTAATGTACTCTATTTAAAAGACACTTACATGTGTTTTATATACTGATAATTTTTATTATTATTGATTTTTCTCAACTATCAGCCATATTACTGGATTCCCTCTGCTCCCAGAGGGCTCTGCATTCCCCCTGCATAATCACGAGGCTGATAGACCCTTTGGGGAAAACTCAAAGCTAAAACAGACTGTTCGGACGCCGAGAGAGGGAAAGATTGGAAATAGGTTAGTATGTTTTAATAGGTTTACATTGCTTGTCAAACTGCCCAGAATAGTGCTTTTTGGACTCACAGGATGGTACATAAATTAAAGAAATATATAAGAGTAAACAAATCTTAGAATCCTAGAACAGTGAAGTTAGAAGGGGTCTAGAAGGCCATCCAGTCCAACCCCCCTGCTCGATGCAGGAATACAAATCAAAGGATATCTGCATAAATAAAATTAAGTAAATAATCATCACTTCTGCATATTAAATCAGGTGGGCACACTTCCCTTAGTCTTCTACAGAGTAAGAACATCCCCTTTCCATAGTCTGAGAAGACAAAAGGTGAGCTGGATGCATCCATGAAGCTACTGATAAGAGTCAACAGACTAAATCCCCATGGATTCAAGGGGGCTAACTTGAGATGTGACTTGCTGCTGGATTTCAGCCACCGTGTCAGGCTCTATAGAGCTGTGGTTCCCAAACTTTTTTTGACTTGCAGCCTCCTTTTTATAATAGCCAACTAACCTGCAACCCTCCCCCTGCCAAAGATGCATTAAAAGTCATTTTTAACAGGACAAGGCAGTGGTTCCCAAAGTGTGTGCCTTTGGGCCTGGGGTAATGCCAAGGCCAGCCAAGGGGTGCCCCAGAATCCTCTCATTCTTCACTGCCACCTCCTTCTCCCTCTCCTTGGCCAGAGGGTTTCCTTGTGTGACACCAGGGATTGTGCCCAGGCACTTACTGCAGGGTGAGCAGCACCCCTCTCCCCAGATACCCGTCTGTGCAGGAGGAGAAGAGGCAGAGGGAGCAGCACCCTTTTCCATGGGGGAGGCCCCAGGACAGATTAAGGAAGCCACACATGGAAAAAGTTGGAGAAAACTGGGTTAAAGTTATCCCTTCTCAGAAAGAAGAGTCTGCTTTGTCCCACAAAGGGCCTCTTTCTCATACAAACTTACACCACTAACTTCATTACATATGCCGAAGCACTGTTTGCATTGGCAGCCAAGAAGCTGAGGTCTGATCTTCTCAAGGACCGTCATTCCATTTAATTTAATGAACCACAGTTGAGTTGGAGCTACTCAAAGAACAGCACATTTTAAAAGATAGAGTTCTAAAGTGTAAGGTCATACATTGCATCTTGTAAAGGCTTATGGCCATAAACCATAAAATTTTGACTGACTGACACCAACGTCAATATCTGGCTCTGAAAGATCAAGGAAGAAATGATTTAACAAGGCCTACCAGGCATATAAGATGATCCATGACCCCCTTGGGGGTACCAACCCTTAGGCTGGGGAAAACAAATGATATGGTCAACACTGTGTTGACCAGCAGAGGCTTAAGAAAGGGATGTTTCTTGATGTTGTATGGAGATATCCCAACGTCTGAGTCTTGGACCAAGTGATACATAGTTATGAACCCATAAGAAACCACCTGAAGGAGATGTTCCATCACTGCTGCACGATGCCTACAAAGATATACTTTTCTTCCCACTTCCTTCCTAAATGAACTTTCCCCAAAGTTCTTGCACAGGAGTTCAGACTCTTCAAAAGAGGACGCTTGAATCAGTGTGGACAGATTTTCCTGAAATCACGCCACTACAGAGGAAGGCTTGCCAGCGGAGCACTTTGGGGCCTGAACTGCGAGTCAGAAAAGGCTGCCTCCCAGATCATTCTTAATATATGAATCAACCCCATGAATAATACAAGTGCCGTGTGCTTTGGGGTTGACTTTACCATCAGCCTGCCCTAGTGGTGTCAGCGATGTGATGAGTCCTAATAGCAGGGCCCAAGGGAGCTTTTGGGGCAAATTAACTCTCAGTATTTTACTGGACCTGCTACTCTAAGCTCACTTGGGTTCTCCTATGTTTATGCCTCCAACTTTCTCCAAAGGAACCCGTATTCAATCAAGAGTTGCTTGTCCTTTGAAAACATTCCTCTAGCAACCTCTGCAAGGCAGCAACTTCTTAATGAAATTTCCCAGGGCAGAAGGGTTGAGGGAAGTCCATGGAGATGTTCAGCAAATCAGTGTGGACAGTGAAGGAAATGGCACTGGGATAAGGAAAAGCCAGAGAAAGAAGTCAGTTTTCAAAGTCTTGTCGTGCCTAGCACGACCAGAATCTAGGACAGGGTTATGAAATAAATAAATAAATAATAAAGTCTTGTCCTGCCTAGCATGACCAGAATCTAGGACAGGGTTATGCAAATGAAGGGAAGGGCAAAGATTTTCAGACATGGTCAGGCTTTATTTGGGATGGTTCCCATGAGAAGTTTAAGACAAGGCAAATGGAGTGCAATCTAAGGCATAAGATCAGGATGCCTCGGGATCGACTTTACTGAGAATAGGAATTGGGCTAAAGAATGAGCAAGAGGAAGTTGCTATGTCTGGATTTTGCAGTCAAGACGTTCTGCTGCAGTTCCCATAAACTTAAGTACGGCAAAATATTATTAAAGTATGTGTTTTTGTAGGACAGTACATTTGGAAATATGTGCTTGGAAGACAATTTCAGAAATACATAATGAGATACATATTTCAATGTACCTTTTGATGTGCATATGAATGGACCAGAACAAACCAGAGTAGGGAAAACATACGTACGAGTGAGAAAGTGTGGCAATAGAGTGATTTATCCATTTTGGGGCACTGGCATCAAACTGACCAGGGCCATGTTGAGAGATCTGCAGAAGCTACATCACAGAAAGAGATTTTCAGTACAGGAAGGCAAATTTGCTCTAGCACCCCTTGGAAGTGAATTTTCCTTGGTTGCAGGCCGCCATCTGCTTCAAAGTCATTGCAGAGCTGAAGCCAAATTTGAGCTAGAGACGTTTTCTTCTCATGAGACATATTTAGCCCAGTTTATTCCTGGAAAGGACAAATACATCCAGGCAGCATTTTAAATTTGTACATCTCGGTTAAAACTACTGCCAGCCTAATGCCTTGGGCCCCAAGGAGAAAGAGAGAGAGCTAGGAGAGGGGGGAAAAAACCAAACAACCAAAGAGATACTGAAGAAATGGGGAAGAAGGGAGAAGAAGATTGGAGTCGGATCCTACAGCTTGGTTGTAGTAAGACATTGGGAAGAACTGTCTCTTTGTTTTGAAAGAAGATGTATATATATAAAAAGTTTCATCAAGGAGATACAAATTACCCATCCAAAGCTTAGTGTCGGAAAAAAAAAGTAGCTGTGCAGATGGATGGATGGATGGATGGATGGATGGATGGATGGATGGATGGATGGATGGATGGATGGATGGATGGATGGATGGATGGATGGATCTCCTATGCAACATTTTTGTCCAGATTGAAAGAGTCTCTCCCTCTTCCGCAGAAGTTGAAAAATATTGCAGCTTATCCTGATCCGTAAAAACAAGACAAGTGAAAATTTACATCTCCTGCTATGCGCACATATATTGTAACTAAGCTATGGCCTTTCCTTGAGGGTCTACCTCAAGCCAAATATTGAGCCTAGTCTTAAACAGCAAATAGATTGGATGCTGGAAACCATTTGCCTCTTTCAAATTAACTGTCACCAGGGCATGAAAGAGTTTGAGCTGCCATGAGCACACTCAATCAATCCTCAATGCAGCGTGTTAGCCATATCTCTCCCTAGGCATTCCTTCCTTTCAGCAGTATTACTACTAGCAATATTACAGTGGTAGGTAGGTAGGTAGGTAGGTAGGTAGGTAGGTAGGTAGGTAGGTAGGTAGGTAGGTAGGTAGGTAGGGTGCATACTGAGGTTAACACTGGCAATAGCAACCTGACTCCCACTTGAGAGACTGGTCTTTATCCTCCCGTAAGTCACTTTCCTCTTATAGCTCTATTGATCACAGGTGAGGATGAATGGGATATTCCCACAATCCCCTGGGAGCAATCCTACACAACATATATGCTTTTATTTCTGACGCTCCACTCTTTCTAAAAACTCAACAAAACAGGTCACCAGGGCAGCACTCCATTGATTTCATGTCCACTTATTCTCCTCATGCAGTGCTGAATACTTGATCTATAATTCAGGAAGCCAGAGATCGGCAAGGCCCCTTCGGGGATGCTAAGCTATCTCACCGGCAGCGGTACGAAAAGTACTTTGGATGTTCGAGAGAAGCAGCCACAGCAGCAACAAGTCGGCTTCTTCACACCTACATCAGAACTGCTGTCAAGGCTGTGTATATGCCACAGGGGTGCAGAACTCCACCCGAGGGTCTCCCACCATTTCGAAGACTGATATAAGGTCCACCTACAGCTACAGATTGTTGGTATGAAGAAGACCATTCTTGCTATCTTCTATGCTTCTGGTCTCTATCCAGGCAATAGTAACACCTACCACAGAAGTCTTGGTGAGACTGGTAATTTTCAAAACAATTATGGAGAATTCACTTCCTCAGCATCTCTACTAATGACTCCAAGTGTGATATGACTATCTCCTACCAATAGTATGTGCCACAGAGACCTCACCTTCAACCTTCTGATATAGTTGTCGTAGAGATTCTGGTCAAATTATCCTAACATTTTAATTTGTTTTAACTTTACCTGTATTACTAGACAAGTACTTGTGTATTTATTAGCAGAAATGCCATTCTGCTGTAGCGAATCCCAATGTCCCCAGAGGTCTCTGGGCGGCTCACAACAATTAAAGTTCAACACAATAAAAGATAAAATGATTAAATACAATTAAACTTTGGGCCAGTTTTGCTACTAGACTTAGGGAACGACAATGTTGCAACCCTGGTTTCTGCAGAAGTTGGCACAGTTACTGTCTACTGCACAACAAACAATTGTGAGTATGCAGTCTTTTTTTCATAGGCATTCATTGTTTTCACTCAGCTGGCAGTGGCTAATGTTATTTTAAAGTATTCCACTCATTGTTTTTTTTTTTCTTGTAGTTGTTTTTCAGTAACGGCTTATTTCAATCCAAAGGGGAAGTGTCAGGTTTGTCCTAGGGACATGTTGATGGTGAGGCATCTTTTTTAAAGGCAATTTTGGCAGGTGACATAGCGCTCAACTGATATAATCTGTAAAACCACAGTGCTTATCTGACATTTAAATTTGGAAACCACAATTTAGAAAAAAAAATTACACTCTCTTCTTTAAACCCAAGTGCATCGCCTATATCAAAAATGTTAAAGGTAAGTTCTAACAACAGTAGAAAGGCGTATACACAATAACCACAAGGTTGCCAATGAAAATAGGAACCCTCCATCAAATTCCAACCTATCCATCAAATTCCAACAAAGCAAAGTGTGCTGCTTATATACCATCCTGTAATGCTTAAAGCACTCTGTGGGCAGTTTATAATTTAAATGGTGCAGGCTACACATTGCTGAGTACTCATTTTACCAAAGTCGGAAGGATGGAAGGCAGAGTGAACCTAAAGCTGGCTATTGAATCCTAGTCATGAGCAGAGTTTTGGCTACAGTACTGGAGTTTAGAGCTCTTCTTAAGGGCCATGATAGTTGGGGCATGTCATCAAGGGGGAAAAAGTAATTCTCTGAACTCTTGCAAAACTTAGCTTATAGTCTGATATCAGTATCCAACTTTATGTCCACCTCTGTGACTGTATAGGACATGTTTACAACACATTTTAGAAGCAGAGGGATGGTTGAGACGAATCTGCCATTGTCTACAGCAGCTGCATCTTTATTATAACAAACAGCGCTATTTTTAAAAAGCCCCTAAGTGCCTCCATCCTTCACGCTTCCCACACGGTTCACAAGAGCACCTCCCACGTTAAAACTTACAGTTCAGTAAGTCTCAGTGTCTTGAAGAGCTGCCACGACAGCGTCGTCAGCCGGTTCCCGGAGAGGTTTCTAAGGAGGAAGACAAGACAGAATTTACAGTAAATAATTCCCCTCACACGGCGGCTTTTCCGGCTTAGCCCAGTTCTGAATTTCCCTGCACAAGCAGAGAGACACACGGAAATGCAAAAGGAAAGTTTAACAGAAAATAAATGGCAGTCCACAGGAAGTTGGCTTCTCCCGGCTGTCAGGGAAATTTTTTAACAAATGAAAAATTGACATGCTGTAAAATACTTTTTCAGCATGGTTGGAGATTCTAATTAAATATTGACAGGATCCATTGATAGGTTAATACTAATATCAAAGTAATCCTAATGGGAAGCAGATACTGTACATTTTGATGGAATGTGAATAACAGCCCAAGACTTTTTGTTTCCAAAAATTCGCCCATACAGTCCAAATCTTGCACTGGCCTGAATTTTGCAGGCTGTAAAAATTATATTGATCCACAAATTTTCATTGTATTTATCACTTTTTTAAAAAAAATCCGTGAGAGTCATCATTCTGAATTCAGTTAATGGTACCTGGTTTGATTGTACTTAACTTAGCATCGGGCTGAGATCTGCATATATTCATATGTGTCTAAAAGGGTGAGGTTTGAATATGATTTTTTAAAAATCCCTGACATATTCCCTGTCTTCCTAACGGTTATAGAGGAATGTGGCATATTGAGGATATAGTTAATAATCTGAGAGAACTTCCCCTCACAGTTTCTCCATCTTTCAAAATGGGGAAAAAAATGCTTGACAGGATTGTTAAAAGATTACATGCATGAAGATTAGATTCAGATCTTTATTTCAAATGTTGAGACTTTTCCCTTTTTTATTTTGTTGCGTTTCAAAATTTGTAACAAAATTTATTTGTGCAAAAAAAGTTGCATTTTGCTCAAACACAAGTGTGTGGTGTGTGTATTTTACATTTGCATAAAATACAAGTTTTTTGCACAAGATGTAACACATTCTTTTTAAAATGCTGCTGCTGGCCAGAAAAAAAAACACTAGTCTTTTTTCTCTGATATAGAAGTAAACAATTTTACAGTCAGTGATAATTTTCACAGCTAGGCATTTTGATCTGTTGAGGTTCACTTTTTCCGCTGAAAACAAAATGATTTGTGAATGAACATTCATTATAACTTTAATTTAAATTATGGGTGGACAAATCTACACTTTTTTCCTTTCACATTCATTTTTTTAAAACAACGGTGAATTCTTTCCATCATATTAATGAAGATGTTTGTAGCTGTGCGCGCTTTGATCACATTTTTGTTATAAAGTAAGACAAACAAAACTCTCAGGCTGCGGTCACATCAGCAAAATATTTCCGAGTCACTCCATGTGAATTTCGACTTTTTTTTTCTTGTTCAGATGATGCAAGGCCATTATTGATTCCTCTGTTTCCCCACCTGTGCTATCTCCACATCAAATCCAGCTCACTGGGAGATGACTACTATATTTGTTCTATGTGTCACGCAGTACAACCAACATCCCACTGAGCGTGTAGTCCAAAACCAATTCACTTCCTGTGCATCTGGCATATGGTTCCACCTCCCTCACCTGCTGCCATTTGACTCCCTTAATTTTTCTTAAACTAATTTTCAAATTGGAATGTCAGCATATTGGTATAATTCTGAAAATTATGGAGCATCAGTCTTCTTACTGTCTCTTTTGACTGCCATTGCAGTGTGCTGAGGATTACCCTCCATGGAGAGTAACAAAGCATGGAAACAGGAAGAAATGGCCCTGATCAGTATGTGGCCAGCAAGGGTGTTTTGCTGACACAGTGATGTCTCCATGCAATTTTGAAAAAAGGGATGGAAAGTGGAAAAGAGAAAGGCACAAGAAAAGGGGTTATATCTGGCTCGATGGGTGTAGATGAATGTACCACATTTAATTCATCCCCCAAAAAGTGGAATGGTTAAAAAAAAAAGTATGACCCACTATAACAGATATATGCCACATGATCACAACATGCAACTATGTGGGAAGAAGAAGATGCAAGAAAGAAGGGGATGCATTTTTCTTGTGTGATCATGGCCTCCGTCAAAGACACTAAAAAAACAGGTAAAAAACACGAGTAACTCCAAAGAGGAAAACTAATATGAAACATTTCAATATAACCATGAAGAAGACAGGGAATGTGTTAGGAAAAAGAAATGATTGCCTTAATTCAGCACCATGAATAAAAATATAACTGAATGCACAAGGATTTAAAGAAAGCTTTAAGACCATGAATACTTAGGGTTCCTGCTTGCATGGAAAGGATCTAACAGTTTTGTTTCATCAGTGATGTCTTTTAAATAAAATTCAAGGACTTTCTGTCTTTTTGTGACCAAACACTGAACTTTGAGAAATTCATATCAAAACACACAACTGAACAGAATTTACCCAACACCCCTGATGAGAAGCAGTTACAATTCCCTGGTGGTGCTTTATGAATGGCAGCATCCACAATTTTCACAGTTTTGTGATATCCCGGTGAATGTGGTGAAACAAAGCTACAAAGAGTTAATATTGGGCTATGGTTTCCAAAAATGCACAATGAGAAAGGTCACAGTGCATATAGGGAGATACCGAGTTTTTTGAAAGAGAGATCCTTTTCTCACATTCCAAATGCTATAAATGTCCACTCATACAGCTTGAAAACATTGCCATGCTCTCTCTACTCAAAAGGAAGGGTCACCATGCTCAGAGGGGCTTTCTTAATGCTAACTGTAGAACTGCGGCCTAATGAGCAAACACAATAATACTTAGCACATGCATATGTCAACATTCCTGCCACTACTGTAGTGGAATACTGGTTTTGTGCTCTGATCATCTAATGCACACAGACCAAGGCAAGCTTTCCATCAGCAGAGCTTGTAATAAGAATGGGCCACAGTTAGTAAGTTTCATACAGAAGGTCATAAAGTGTACGCAAGGCCGGCCTTACAGGATAATAGTAGGGAATTTTAACACCAAGAGGATGTTTTAATGGCATCTAAATTCGCCTTCTGCGTGCTTGCGTTATTCACACTGAAAACAGGCTGCTTCCATGGCAACCTAAAGCAACCTCGAAGAAGTCCCTATGCGCCAGCCGGAAAAGACAAAAAAAAGTGTTAAATTTGTTCTCTTCGGGACACATCTACAATCCAGCATCTGACACCTTATTACTAAATCTTTTAGGGAACTGAAGATAGATTCTCCCTCTCTCTCTAGCTAAACAATCCAGCATCTGACACCTTATTACTAAGTCTTTTAGGGAACTGAAGATAGATTCTCTCTCTCTCTCTAGCTCTCTCTCTCTCTTTTTTTAAAGGAGAAAATATCATAAAGAGAAGGCAGGCAGAGCCAAGGTGGTGCTGTCAAAAGTAAGGGCACCATTGTAGGTATAAAATGGGAAAGTGCTGCAGGGCTACAGAGAAAATCCATTTTCAAGAGGCAGGTGAAGATCACCTGCACAACCTCCCCTTCTTGTTGGTTTCATCTGTCCTGACACTATGAGTCATCTCAATGAGAAATTTTCAAGTCCCACAACATTCCTATCTTCCTGGGCAATTGTGAGGCAAGAATTGCTTCTTTTTATCACCCATGTTCTGTGATCTTCGCACAAGTTCCCTGTGGCAGGCCAGAGCCCTTGGTGTGTAAGAATCAAAGCACACACACAGGAAACACAGGAGGATGGGTGGGTTGTTGCAAAACATGAGAACAACCCATCCGGTGCTTCTGATTCTTGAGAGTGCACACAACCAGGTGGCCACATTCATATATCTCAAGTAATTTGCAAAATAAAGCCAGTAGCTACCTAAAGTCAACTTCCAATTTTGTACTACTATCTCTGTGTACTGTATGTGTGTCTGTACTTGAAGGAAGGTGCATAGAGAGGCACTATTTAGCTTTCCTGGCAATTGCACTCTTGTGGTTGTGGAATATTTTTTTCAGGTTGGTGATGGTTGAGAGAATTTGGAGGGAGGGGTTGGGAGAGGCCTACACACACCTCTCCCTTCAACAGAAGTGGGGCTAGGGGTGCCAGTCCCCAGTGTAGTTCAAAATACATGTCTAACTCTTATGCCAACCCCCCAAATATAAATACAAAGCACAAACAGTTGATTAACACAGACAGAGAGACCCAAATCAACCTCAAGTCACTCTCTGGATACAAATAGCAGTACTGTATTTATTGAATATGCACGCATGCATCCATCCATCCATCCATCCATCCATCCATCCATCCATCCATCCATCCATCCATCCATCCATTAATTTTTTAAAAAAATTGTATAACCAAAACGGTGCTGCTCAGAATCGCACAATTCAAGGGAGAAGTGTATGTGGCAGCCATGATTCACTTCATTGACTCAATACAAATCACATGGAACACACCGAACCAGCTTCTTCACAATGTGTAATGATTAATTTGTGGGATTCACAGAAACACATGTCAATGTGCAATAGCTTAGTCCTTTTTTAA